TGCAGCCTTTGAGCCTGCGGTGGGCTGAGCCCGGCTGGGCGCCAGCGGCCCGCCGAGGCCGCCCGATCGCTCCCCTCCTCAGCTGGGCGGGGGGGAGAACACGCAGCGAAGGGAAGGCTCCTGGGTGGGGATAAGGGCAGGGAGCGATCAGTCGCCCGTTACCATCACGGGCAAACCAGACTCGACTCGGGGGAAATTAATTGCGTATTACCAATCAGATCGAAGGGGGGTGATGACAAATAAAAACTAAGTCTCAGAACACCTTCCTGCCATGCCTCGCTTCTTCCCTGGCTCAAGTTCACTCATTTTCCTCCACCTCCTCCCCACAAGCGGTGCAGGGGGACGGGGAAGGGGAGTTGCGGTCAGTTCATCACATGCTGCCTCTGCTGCTCCGTCCTCCTCACCCTCTTCCCCTGCTCCAGCATGGAGTCCTTCCCATGGGAGAGGGAGACAGCCTTCCACAAACTGCTCCAGTGTGGGTCCCCCAACGGGGTCACCAGCCCGGCCAGCAAACCTGCTCCAGCCTGGGCTCCTCTCCCCACGGGGCCACAGGTCCTGCCAGGAGCCTGCTGCAGCGTGGGCTTCCCACAGGGGCACAGCCCCCTTTGGACATCCACCTGCTCCCGTGTGGGGTCCTCTGTGGGCTGCAGGTGGAGATCTGCTCCACCACGGACCATCCTGGGCTGCAGGGGGACAGCCTGCCTCACCATGGCCTTCACCCGGGGCTCTGGGGGAATCTCTGCTCTGACGCCTGCAGCACCTCCTCCCCCTCCTTCCTCAGTGGCCCTGGTGTCTGCAGAGTTGTTTCCCTCACGTATTCTCACTCTTCTCTCTGGCTGGTGATGCCCAGCAGATTTTCCCCTTCTTAAATATGTTATCTCAGAGGTGCCACCACAGTCGTTGATGGGCTTGGCCTCAGCCAGCGGCGCGTCCCTCCTGGAGCCGACTGGCATTGGCTCTGTCAGATATGGGGGGAAGCTTCCAGCAGCTTCTCACAGAAGCCACCCCTGTAGCCTCCCCACTACCAAAACCTTGCCATGCAAACCCAATTCAGAATTAATTCTTCCTAACCGTACCTTCTTCTGTGCCTCATATCGGCACAGCTATACTGGTGCAAAGAGCCCTTTTTGGCAGCGTTGACACTTTCCTCCAAAGGCTGCTCCTGCCCACTCACAGTCTGTTATTCACAGCCCTCATCTGCTTCCTCCAATTTTCCTTCCCCTGTGTGCTCCAGGCAGTTTAGCGCATACAGAACTGCAGGAGCCTTTTCACATTGTGCACAGCTCTCGCCAGTACTTCCCGCCTTGATCCCAGTAAGCAGTTTCACTCTGCGCTTCGGTGAAGTCACTCCTATAGAAATCACCTTATTCCCATGCCAAAGTCCCAGTGGTCGGCATGTGGTATTTTCCTTTGCAGCCAGCTTTCAGGCCACCCACTGATACTTGAGTTACAAACAAATCCATAGGCTCCCACAGAGACTGGGAGACTTCCAGCCATTTCAGCTTCTTCGTAATTCTCCCCCAGCTTGGGTGGAATGACCGCTGAGCCAGCCTTGTGCCATGTGTGCTCATGGAGTCACCAGCACCCGGAGCATTTGTCGCCAGGTCACCAGTGTTACTCAGTGTTGTAAACTAGACCCCATGTACGGGGGATAACAGTATGCCTTGCCCTTTTCCAGGAATGAAATGTCATTTCCCCCCTAGGTATTTTTTGTTCGGAGGCAGCCCATGGCCTGCATGAGAACAGAGGTGTTAATTAGGGACACAAGTGTACGCTGCTCCTTTTGCTTTAGCTGTGGCAGTGGACATCCTGGAAGCATGAGAAAGCAATGAACCCCACCAGAGTAAGCAGCTAATAGCTAACGGTGTCCTCACAGGGAGCAGCAAGTTTCCACATGCCAAGAAAGACGTACAGTGAGCAAAACTTTGGGCACAAGGATTTTGGTTAAAAAGAGTTAAACAGTAAGGCTTGCCATGGTGGTATCAAAGATTTGTCTCTCAGACCACAGTTCCTACAGCAAGAAGTCAGGTATTACTGAAGCCCCGACAAATGGGTTTGTTCTATTTTATGTTCGAGAAACACCAGGATGGGAGACTCTCTGAAACAGTCCCATTTTCCGTACTTTACGCTGAAGCAGTGGAGATCAGGGAAGATGTTCAAGCTGGACAGGCCATGTAGCACCATCATGCTGATGTCACGAGCTGGAGGAGCGGTTGGCAACCGTCGAACCCTAACATTCTATACCGGCTAGCAACTGCCTTGGTCGGTTCAACAAGCCTGGAGAAGGTACCACCTCCTCTGTCCAAGTGTATTTTGCTGTCTGTTGGAGTTTTTTTCCAAAACAGCGGCAGAGCTAAGATCCTGAAGGTCCAGGTTTTGAAAGAAAACTACTGCTTTCAGGATAAGATTACGATTTGCCTGAACGTTGATGGCTTTAATGTTTGCATGTATCTTCTGCCGGTATTAAGAGAGTGGAGGAGAAGCGCAAGAGGTGGAAATGGCCGCAGCTAGGAGTGACCGCTATTTCCATTCTTATTCCCCCTACGCACAGGTAAATGCTGTAGATTTTAGAGGGGTTTGCGTCCTTGATTTTCTTGATAGATCCGTGTTGAAAGGGCGGTCCGATATGTGAAGTTAGAAGGTGATATGTCACTCTGTCTGGGTAACGGCCACATCTGTAGATCAAAGATGGGATTTTGGAAGCGGTGAGAAGAGCTAATGATCATCTAAATTATGGACAGTTTCTCCTGGGGACTGGATTCAGGTACTCAAGGGACACCTGAGTTAAAAATCATGCATCCCTTTCTTATTGAATCAACATCATATTGGTTCTGAGTAAATAGGCTGTGTTTATCATTTCTGCTTACAGCATCTACCTGACTTTCTGCAAAACCAGTTGTTTAAAGCAAAGTCCTTCAACATGGGTTTGCCCTTCAAAGAAATATTTATATTCCACCTGGTGGAAATCCCGGGGTGGGGGTAGGGCTCTTCGTTATGGCATCCATTCCCAGCCCCGGGATTTAGGTGCTAATGCCTGGGCGACGGGCTTTGGCTCGAGATCCCAGCATGTCTCAGTGGATGGCCCCATTGTGCTGACTACAGTCCCACATGTTTTGGAGGTGCTATAGTGACATGTTTTGGAGGTGCTGCTCCTGGATCCAGCTGTTAATGCCTGGAGCTGGGCGAAACCTACCCGCAGGTATTCAAATATTTTCAAGTGTGATTTTGTTTTCCTCCAAAAAATTAGACAGAAACTCGTTAAGAAATAACCGGCCACCCATCATTGGCAGCTCTCAGCTGGGATATAGTTCATGTCCAGGATTTAAACCTGAGTTTATATTTGAGGCCCTAAAACTGTTATACATGGACTACTGCATCATCTCCCACATTAGTTAAAACCAGAAAGTTTTAAAAAAAGGAGATTCACATTTGAGGCAGCCACTAGGGCATGGGAATCCAGTGTGACTGACCCACAAAGAGACTTTCCTCATGGGGGTTCCAGGGACAGATTCTGTCACTGTGAAAAAACTTCTCGGACGTGATACGGTGTGCTCGTGATGGAGGCGGGGTGGATGTTCATAGGCATTTTGCAGGTTGAGCAATGAGGAAATAAAGGCAGAAAGGAGCAAGTCCCTTCCAAACATTTTTCAGTCTGAAAACAAAAGTGACTTTCTACTGATGAGTTGGTGTTTCCAAAGGGAATTGGAGCAAAGGATTTTTTCCTTGTTTTGAAACCCAAGTCTGACAAGTCGGTACAAGGATCACAAGTTCCCAAATCTTTAGTTTTTCACTTTTTGTTGGAAATCTTTCTGGGATTTGTTTCTTACCCCTCATTTTCCCACAGACCCATGTCCTTTAATAGTACGAGAGGATTAATGTCAGACCTGCCTTTGTACAGCAGATTTCACTGGAGATTGACCCAATTATGCCATTGTGCAGGAAAGGAAACTCAGCCACATGTCGCTTAAGTGACTAGTAGATTTTTTTTTTCTTCCCAGCCTCTCATGACAAGACTGCAGTACAGTAAGTAAACAGCTTTACTCCTGTTCTGATCTAGGACCAGTTTTACATCATGAAAGCTCCATTGACCTAACTCAAGATACCTTCAGAGTTATCTGGAGCTGAAGAAAACTTCAAAGATAACTTTCAGTGTTCTAAAATATCTGAGCATGATATCTAAGCTATCACAAATTCTTAACCCACTTAGTCCATTTTTATTGCTTTATTTATAATACCTGAAAGCTGTTTTCTCCTGCAGCAGAAGTACAGCAACATCTCCTGTTTGTGGGAAACTCAGCCCTTCGGCTGTGTGAGGATCAGCTGTGCCTTCCATCATAGCAAACCTCGTAATATAAATGGACTTTTTCTGCCACCAAATGACAGTAAGTAAAAATATCTTCTCAACAATTTGTTCATGGGAGTAAGGAAATACACAAAAATGTCCTTCTGGTACTTACTTCCAGAGCATCTGTAATCTATATTCAGGTCAAGAAACATGCCCTGGCAAATCAGTCAGGTATGACCTGCTATCCCTGCAAGTTGAAGGCAATGAAAGGAATTGTACTGGTGTTTGAATAGGGTTGCCGTATGAATTGTTTTAGCTGTCACGTTATGGGTCTTCCTACCTAAGTCTCTCCAGTAGCAAGAATGGTTAGTAGGCAGGAAATCATTTGAGAGAAATGGAAAGTAGTGTGTGTGTGTGGTGGGGGGAGGCGGCTGGTCGGGCCAATATGAGCAATATCTGTTGACAGAACCTACCGTGTTACATGGATGAGACAGCCCTTGTATAGAGAACATCAGGCGACAGTGCTGTGTGTGCAGGTGTATCTCCAGTTCCTCATTTTGAATGAATTTTTCAGGCTTGATGCAGGCCAATGTAGTCAAGGAATAGTGCCCAAAAGGCACAATCTACTTCATGATTGCTTCAGCATGATAAGGATTTCAAAGCCCTACCTGCCGGTCTGAACCTGGATTTGATGCTCTAGTTCCCTCCTAACAAGATAAATGTAATGCTCTTTTCTGCAGATGCCCCATTGCAGCTGGGTGTCCAAGAAGGGATTCTGCATCCAGCCCATCATCAAGAATCACTCCGAAATCAAGAGAATATTTTACTACCAATTCACCCTCCGCTGATTATAAACCTCAACAAGGAAGAGGACCAAGAGGAGGATGAAGAGGACCATGAAGAGGAAGAGAACTGTAAACAGTTTTTTCCTTTCTTTTACAAGGAAGTAGAAGAGGTTTTTTTTGACTGTTGGAATGTACTTCACAAGCGATCTACTCTAATAACCATTCCATTTTTAGAAAAGAGTTGTTGACGAGGTTTTGAAACAGTTTCCAGCTAATATTCAAAACAGTGGCTCTGGTGGCCACCAGATGTGCGTGAGGCCACATTTTCTAAGTCCTGTGAAATGCCTAGCTGTGTCTTTCCATACAAATCTCTTCCCTAGCTTAACTGAACATGCGTGAGTGTGTTCATAGTTATAGGTACGTTTTTAAAAAATCTGAAGAGGCTTGTGAATTGTTTTAAGTCAACAAACAGTGGTTCTTAATGTGTGTTTTAACTGCAGTTCCATTGTACTGGGAAATACCTAATACAGAGGAATCATTTCTCTGTCCAGAAGCAGGGGTTGCAGTCAGAGTAGAAATAAATCGTGCCGCAAATGAAGTTTATTACGGTCTTTGATTAATAAGAATTGTTTTGTGTAGATACCTCGTAATCTTTTAAAAATACTTCCTACAGGTGTTTCTCACTGGATGCCTAAGACTGCTGCAGATATTGAGGAGGAAAGAGCAATAAAGGAGATATGCTATAAATCTGGTAAGTATGAAATTAGTCACTCTTTC